TGTGTCTCTCTCTCTCTCTCTCTCTCTCTCTCTCTCTCTCTCCCGCCCCCGTCCCCCCCCACCCCAAAGAAAAAAGGGCCCCTCCCCCAAGGGGTTTCATATGCAATGGAGTTATTGCAGTATGGAGCTTGAATTTCATTGTGTACTATTCCATCTTTTTCTTCGCCGTTATGTTGCATTTGATTTGGTAAAAAACCTTCATTCTTTGCAAAGTTGCTTGGAAAATCTTTTTTATTTTTAAATAAAAGAATTGAAGGGAGGTGGTAAGGGAAAAGCTAGCACAAAGTAAGCAAAAACCCATAATACAAAGAAAAAACGGAAACGTATATCAATCAATTAGTGCTGCATAATTCATATTGAGTAAGGATATTTCTACCTCTACACTATTGTGCATTATTTACTGATCATTTTTACAACAATAAAAATTTGTAAAGTTTAGCGTGACAAAGTTGTGAAGCATATCCCTAGACCAGTCCATTTGTAAACAAAATACAGTTACTCCCATCCCCCTCTCTCACTCTATCTCTAAATCACATGTCCAATCATGAATTCTTACTGTGGAAATGGATTATTTGCAGGTGTACAACTTGTGTGCAGAACAAAATTACGACGTATCACATTTTCATGGTCGTGTTGAAGTATACCCATTTGATGACAACCATGTCCCCCCACTATCTTTGATCAAGCTCTTCTGTGAGAGTGTACATGCATGGCTTTCTAGGGATCCCCAAAATGTGGCGGTCATACATTGCATGGTAAGTGGTAGTTATAAGGTGGTATGGACCTACATGTCCATGGTTTTTTGCTTGTGTTGACACACCGTAGATGTTGTCACCATATTGTCTGATACTTTAAAATCCTAGATCCTTTAATATTTCTTCTTGAAATCTCACTATAAAAGAGTATTTATCATCCTTATCTTCTGAGCTTTATCCCAACTATTTGGAGTCAACTACACGAATCCCTGTCTCCATTCCGCTCTATCAAGGGTCACATGCTTAGTGAGATTACATATCACCATATCCCTTCTCACTACTTTTATCCATGTCCTTTTGGGCCTTCCTCCTACCCTTTTAGATCCTTCCATTTGGACCAAATCCCTTCCTAATTGGTGTTGTTCTAGGATGAAGTTGCATGTGGCCTGACCATTGAAGTCTACTTTCCCTTATCTTATGAGTCTTGTCACTCTAAATGTACTTAATGTTACCTAAAATCTCACATCTCCGTTGTC